ACGTGGGAAATTCTTGATAACAATAGGACCATCAGCGGATATAAACTTCATATTGTAGAAACTGGAAGTTCGCGTGAACCGCCTTTGGCCCCATTCGAGAAAATAATAAAGATACAAAATGCCTCTCAGACTTCTTTAGTAATTTCCAACCTTTCCATATTGACGAGATATCAGATTCGCATGGCAGCCTACAGTTACAAAGTAGTGGGAGATTTCAGTTTTCCTGTTATTGCTGGTACGTTGTTTTTCCTTTTTTTTTTTTGCATATGCCCATATTCCCATCCAGTAGAAGCCGAGTCCAGCAGTTGTTTTATCGTTCATTCAAAATCATTCCTCTTTTAAAACAGGTTCCCGTTTGTTTGCTCCTCAGTTCCTCAGCATAAACATCTAGCAGGATTTTTTAAAACGTTATCGCCAAAAAATGGACCTTTAATGTCCAACAGTTATTGAGCAACCTTTGCTTTTTTTTCCTCTACTACTTTCTACCTCCTCGCTCTTTCGTTTTCTCCTTTCCTTTTCCTTCATTAGTGTGATTTTGGAGATTATCAGCCTAAGAAACCCGCTTTTTGAGGCCTGTTTACTCAAATGATGGCAAATTTCTTTAGGCTGGTTTTCCAAAACAATTAGCTAGACATGTAAAGGGATCTTAAGTCTAACGGATATTCTTCAAATATGGTTAATTTCCGGTGAGATATATTTTGCTGTTTTTTTCTATTTTATAGGCCAAAATTTGACTATTTCGTCTTCGTGAAAAGGGTGAAATTTCCCGCCATTTCCTATAGACCTACCAAAACAACTGAGCTAGCGCAACCTCATCCCCAGGCCTTACCGGTTTCAGCCCCTTCCTTTGTCGATAACTTGTACTTGGCTTACTTGCCTTGCTTTTCACATGACGTCACCAAAATTCAAACTAAGAAACTATCGGTTCTTCTGAGTTTCTACTTTCATGAAGTATTACAGCACCTAAACACCTTCATGGAAACAAATTTTCGGCTCGAAAGGGTTTTTTCGTTTTGCGATAGAGGACGCTTGATTTCCCAGGCTTTTGCGTGAGGCGGCATTCAGCTGAAGGCCAGGAAAGGTCTTATGTAGGGTAAAAACATTACCGATTTTGGGAGATTAAACATTCCTTGTCTGAGAATAAACATTACTTTTATCTTCATGAGTTCCTCAAGCGAAGAATTCACGCATTAGTTAAGAAAACTCAAAATCAGATGTTTCTGTTAGTTAATGGCGGCCATATTTGTGCCCCTGAAAGGGACACAAACATGACGTCTCCATACAAAGCTTTAAAAATTTGGGTAAAAAGGTTTTTCCGAATATTTTGCAAACGAAATATTGCACAGAAGTGATTCTTGGCAAGGCCCTTTGCATATTTATCTTCTTTCATTTCCAAGATTCTAGACTTTCTGTATTGAATAGTTTGCATTTTTGTTTTTTGATGGCGTGACAATGAAAACAGAGAATTGTCAGAACTGACACTATTATATTGGAGGGAGCAAAACGCCAGCTGGTTATGAAAAATTGGATAAATTATAGTATAAATACCAGTATTAATAAAAGTATTGATATAAGTATTATTAATTGGACCGTTAATAGTTACGTTAATGAAACTCAAGTCGTATTCAAACTAATGTACGCCAGTTTTTGGCCGTTGTTTATTTGTCCATTTTTTTTTTTTCGCTATAGGAACTTGCGTTTGTCCTCAATACTTTTCAGTGACCGCACGCCCTTCACCGCTGAACAATGGTGGATCTCGTGGGCTGACCGAACTTATCGCTGGAAATATAAAAAAATCATGCGGCCTCTGTAAAGAGTATGGCGAAACAGTGTTAAATTTTTCCAAAAACAACGAAGGAGAATCAAGCCTTACTTTTCCTGTTTCTGTGACAACTCCGAGAGGCAGCAAATTTAGCAAGTTTTTCGCTATATTAGAGGTACCTGGCGTTGTGGTCATAAGGCGAAGAAATCATAAGTCCAGTCAGGGTTATTATGAAGAGGTCATAACTGTCTCATTTCTTGACAAATGGTCGTTCTTTACTGTTTGTCTGCTGGCAATGTACGCAGCTGGAGTGATTCTTTGGTTTTTGGTGAGTTGATTCCATATTGAAATCCTAGCTATGATGACTCCTGAAGCAGAGTAATTTTTTCTGTCTTCGTTCTGTCCTCTGAATGAATCTTTCTTTGGAAGAATCGAAACCCGCAGTTAGCATCGATGGAAACCAAGCAATCTGTAATAATAATGATGATGATGATGATGATGATGATGATGATGATGATGATGATGATGATGATGACGATGATAATAATAATAATGATAATTATAATTATGATAATCCCTTGTTTTACCCTCGGCAGTATTTGTAGCACTTGTGCCAGTGGGGCCAAGCAAATGCCTGAAACAAATATTTCAAATGAAACTTAACAGGGTTAAAAAAGGCCAACTGGCCGGAGGCAAACCAGTTGGTTATTTACAAGCGTGGCCGAGGTTTTAAACTTGGGACTATCGAGAACAAATCCAGCAAGCAGTCAGGGCGGGACTTGAACTCGGGACTGCAATTCCAGCTCTCTAACTGCTCGGCCACCCTACCTCCACTATTCTTATCATTTTAGTTCGCTAATTCTTTATACCAAATGAATCTTTCTTGGGAGGAATCGAAACCCGCAATTAGCATCGATTGATACCAAAAAGAATTATCATCATATTCCTATTATTCCATTTTAGTTGCTAATACTTTATACCAAGAGATACTAGCAAGCAACTTGAACATTAATTGAACATGAATTGTTTTTAATAAAGACACCCATGTTTTACTCCTCGGCCAAAGTCATATCTCAATGTCAACTGGAAAGAAATAATTAAAATGAAACATTGGGCATGGCCAGAATTTAATTTCACGCACGCGCGGTAGCAGTGGACAGTTAGAAAAAATACCAACAGAAAACAATGAACATTTTACAAAGAAATGTGGGATAAGTAAAATAATTTGCGATACAGCAAGTCGTGCGATATACCTGAACACTAGGTTGCGATTGAGACTGAAAGGTTGACTTATTTAGACCTTAGTTTTGACAAACTTAAACTCCTACCGTCAAATCTCGAGCTTCCCAGAATGGACATAAAAATACGAAAAAATTACCTGCATCTTCCATATGTTTCTATTGCAAATGGAGCACTGCCACCTCGATTAACCTCTTTTCTTCAGTAATTAATGACAATTTTGCTGGGGAACTCTCTTAGGTTGCGATGAAATCTTCAAGTACAAAGTCTTGTCTTTCTATCGTGAGTTTTTTTGTCCTCTAAAAAAGCATATTCTTCCTTGCCATGTTTAAAGAATTTGGAGTTAACTCTATTTATAAATACGCTTCTACTACACGGCTTAAATCCAAGACCTTCCCTCTACAATATCTCGGCCAAAAATCATCTAAATTGTCTCCAAAACCTCTTGTTCGAAAGCTTATTACTTCGAGGTTTCGTCGCCACCTTTGGTTGTTGCAATATTTTTGATCAGCGGCCTTTATTTGACCAAAACGAGATATGTATTGACCACTCGAACTTTCCGAACATTATGAGTCCGGGAATCGCAGTAAAAACCAGCGGTTAAAACCAGTGCGAAACAGTCTGAATGTAAGTCGCCCGAGATTTGACGGGCGAGATTTCTGAACATGTTAAGAATCCTTCCTTGCAGAAGGCAAAGCATTTGTGTAGAGTGTAGGGTGAATGAATGCGGGTTCAACGATGAGGGCTGGGGAGGCCGACTTCAACTCGAGAGTTCCGGATTACAAGACTAGCACGCCTCTTCCCCTGTTTCGACATTCTTTCATGGTTTTTCTTCTTATATATTGATTTCTGTTTTAGGAAACTAAAGGAAATCCTGGTGAATTACCAACATGTTTCTCCAAAGGAGCCTACGAGGGATTCTGGTGGGCCTTTATAACCCTGACTACGGTGGGGTAAGTAGAGGGCATGTGTAATATTTCCCTCTGTAAATGGGTAACAATCTTTGAGGCGGTTTCCGTGTCATATTGCGTCGCCTGGCGCCAATGAATCTTGGTAGAGCCACCCATGTTGGGCAGATCGAGGGGTAGGGTCTCAAAAGAAGATACTAATTAGAATAACTACAGATGAACATTACGATGGTTTCAATTTACTCCAAAGTACGGATTTGAGCTTAAATTTCCAAGAGAAATTCAAACAAAAGCCAACTAATAGTCACCTGTCGTGCCTTTTTTCGCCGTCTCGGGCTGTTTAAAGTGTTATTTAGTTCTATCTGTGCTCACACCTTTCTTATCTTCTGTAGTTATGGTGATCGCTGCCCGAAATCCAACCTCGCTAAGACTTTCGCCATTGTATGGCTTCTTACCAGTGTCGTACTTTTGTCACTACTGATGGGTGAAATATCCGCAGCTTTGACTGTTATGGTGATTCAAACAGCAGCAGGAGGTCCTATGGGTGGTGGAAATAAGGTTACTAGCCGTATTAAAGACAATTTTAACGTTATAAAAATAACGCACCATAACTCAATTCAAATTGAGTTTGGGAATGTAAAACCTAAAAGTACAAAATATTTAACACATTCACAGTGTCCGTAAAGCCTTGGCAAAGAAGCTGCAGCCACATACCCGCCTCGGTCAGAGGAAATCTTTTTAACAATAAAGACGAATCATTTAGTTAACCATGACTGCTAAGTCAGCAGAGAGGAAACCTAGCACAGCCATTAAGCTAGTAGCCTCCCTCGCAGACGTTCTTAAGGGGTTCGTCACGCGTTCCTGCCCCACTAACGTCTGCTGAAGCGAAAGATAAATTCCTTTCCCATTGCTCGCAAATATCAGCTGGAGATCACATACAGATTATCAGAGATCTAATCGGCGATGTTGAAGTCAAAGTGTTGACAAGCCAAACACATACGTACAAGCTAGGTAGAGTGTCATATGTGACTAAAGATTTTTGCTCCAGACAAGAATCTAGGAGATATGCGTTAGCCTTTTGTATATTTTTTCTCAGTAAAGGCTGGATTAGATGTCATCTGCTCATAAAGTTGTTCTTTGGGTGATGCAATGACAGGGTTACCTTGTAACTGAACAAAGGCAGAATTTTTTTTCACACTTTATTGTTTTGTAGTAAAGCCGACTTCCGTTCAGCAAATTCAACCTCCGAGGTAATTTTTATTTCATGAGATTATGAGGGTAGCCTCTAGTACGAACGCTTGTGAGTTAACTGCATGGAGTAGTTTGTTCTAAAACTGTAAGGTCTTCACCTTTCATGAGACCTTTCTGATCTTTTCTGGAGCTAAGTCATGATCAAGTGCGAGATTTCTCAAGGTCCAGAGTGCACTTCCCAGATCTGGAAGTCTACTGTGATTGGTCTACGTTTTTTCCGCTCAAATCAGCAGACGTTAGTGGGGAAGGAACGCGTCAGGAACCCCTAAGAACGTCTGCGTGGGAGGCTATTAAGCTATTAGAAAGTTTCGATACTGTTAACACAGGGCTAACTAGAACAGATATCTATTCAGAATTTTTCATGAACTTTATTCCTTTTACAAAACTTTCAAAATTTTCCATAGTTGTGCGAATTTTACTGACATGGTTTTGCTCATATTCGCTTCGAGACAACAATATATTCGGGTCGATATGCATCAAATGTTCCGAGTTTGTTATAACCTCGAGTTACGTTTATTTGCACAACGCTAGCCAATTGTAGAGCTCATTCTTAAAATTTCGGCCATGCACTCTGATTTTAATTGGGTACTTTGGATTTGTAATGAAGCTTCACTAATTGTTTCAAAATGTTTCATTCTCGTGCAAATAAAACTCATTTTCACAAGAAAGGTTGTGCACCTAGCCTCATTTTGAACGTGAGGGTTTTTGGAACTCGGAAGTGGCCTATTATGGCCAAGAAAAGAATTATAATAGACCTTTTTACCGATACGGCGGCCATATTGAATTAAAGTACAAACATTAACCACAAAAGACCGCAAAGGACCGCAAACGAATATGCCGAAGAACGTAGGATCTATAAAGCCCTGATCAGCAAAAATGAAAAGTAGACATATTAAATTCTGCAAGCAGAATACTGCAGTGCTGATCGTACTACGTGAAAATTAACTCTGCAAGACATCAACACGACGTCGAAACAATTCATAACAGAGCGGGATTGTAGCCATAGACAGCTGTTTCGCCCTGTTTGGGGCTCGTTAGTATGGCGTAACAACCAGAGAAAACTCTGGTGATAAATATCCGCGCACTCTGATTTAAGCTCTGACCTAGAACTCCCAACACCCACAGAATCACGCCATACCACGTGTCTTCTAGGGGGCAAGAGTCCAAGTGTCAAGTTGAAATAATGATCGCCTTTTTCCAGAGAAATATACAGTGAAAGACCATATTTCTAATACTAAACTAGAAAAAAGGCGATCATTATTACATCCAAACACGGGACAAAGATCTTTTTTCCCATTATAATCTAATTCTAAGAAAACTTTAAGAAAAAATGTCCCGAAAAGCGCTCGAAAATACAAACGAAATGTGCTCATGCCCCTAGGCATCCTATAATACTCCTTAATTCGAATTAATTTAATATGGCCGCCGTATCGGTAAAAAGGTCTATTATTGTAACAAGTCTGACTTTTGGTCGAGGTGTCGTGGGTCGAGGGTACTATGTCGAGGGTCGATTTCTGTATTTTAATTTTGTTTTCGCGTTCAGTTTGCACAAAAGTTTAGTTTTTATTAGCGCTGATTCAGAGTGTTGACAGATGTGTTGTAATAACGGTGTACTTCCAAAAGTAGAATGGTTTTTTCTCTTCCACCAACTTTTATGGTCCACCCCTAATCACGGTACTACCCGTCCAATGTTTAATATATAGATTTAGCCAGGGCTAAAAGCGAAGCTCCTATTAACTCGAATTTATAATTTAAATCGAACAATAAACTTGCAATTGTATTCCACAAATCAGTTAACTTTAGAGCACATTCATGTGACTTTTACATCGGGGACACCGTTGATAACACTGTCACTTCTTTAAATAAAGCTTTATCGGAATTGAACAGTTGGTGCCTAGAGAACTCTTTAACCCCTGACTCGGCAAAGTGCGAAGCTATGCTGTTGATGAGAAAACTGCACATCGGCCGCTAAATTCTGTGACTTTCGGAGAGGATCGGATCGAGTGGGTGAAACACTCTCGTCTTTTGGGCGTCACTATCGATGAGAGGCTTTCCTGGTCACATCACCTTACAGATGTAAAAAAGAATTTCGTAAACAGACTGAACCTCCTGAAAAGGAGTTCGTTCTTGACCAGAAACGCCCTATTGGACTTGTACTTCAAGATAATAACATTACCATCAGTTCTATATGGACTAGTCTTTTTGGGCGGCTGCCCTAATGCAGAGCTCCTACATTCTCTGGAAGTACTTCACCGTATGCATGGCAGCCAGAATTATATACAACTTGCCCCGAGATATGCCTACCGACAGTTTACCGACATTCGAACTGGAATACTTTATTCCTCTATTATAAACTTCGATTAATTAAACTACTCCATAGCGTGTTTATAGGTGAAGCACCTACGGCTCTTTCATACTTGACAAATAAACCCTGCACTGCATACAACTTCAGAAGGAGTAATAACATAATCATCCCGCGTTTTAGCTCGCAGTTTCTTAAAAACTCTATTAGCCATAGAGGCGCTATTCTTTGGAACGCTGTCTCAAGTCATTTTACAGACCAGTTTACTGTTTCTTATCGCAAAGTGAAGAAGGACTCAGCGCACAGTCGGTCCAGTCGCTGCACAGGCGCTACCAGGATTTTAAATGCTTTTAACTATTTTTATGTTTTAAACGCTGTAGTCAATTTACTTAGAGGTAATTAATGTAAATTCATTTTAACCTTGTATTTTTTTAAATTTCTTTCTTTCTTTATTTTTTTGTTAGAATCTTACTGTATATTTTTAGAGTTTTAATTGTAGTTGTATTTTGTAAGTGATGTTATTCTTATTTTTTAAACAGTTTTATCCATTTGTAATCATTTTTACACGACCACACAAGCTTTGAGCTTTAAACCATATCGTGTTTAAATAAAGGATATGTATGTATGTATGTATATGCAGTATACAGTGTATGTTGTAGGTACACTAGCTGCAATTTAAAACAAAAACAAGGTTCTAATTGTCTCCTTTCAACAAGAAGAAAGTGATTTTTGTTTATTCATATTGTGCCTGGTAATATTTTTGATTTCTGAAACTCAGACTTTCTGAAAGAAACTCAGACTTTCTGAAAAATTCACAATTGGACCTTCCTTCTGCATGAATTTTTTTCTTTACCTTCTTCTTTGCATGAATTTTTTTTCTTGGTATTTTCCCTTGCATGAATTTTTTTTGGTTTTTCCCCCACCGCCCCCCCCCCCCCCCCCTTTCCTCTTGTCCGCCCCCCACTTTTATCGAACTTTTTTTTTCTTTTTTTTCCAATTTTTAAGACATAACTTACCC